CATCTTTTTGATAGGACAAGGCCCTGTGGCTCAGAGTAATCCGTTTTGATTGCTTCCTTACTTTAATATCAATCATTTTCCTCCTCTGCGTTGTTTCCCTGAAGCCTGTAAAGTATCAGGAAACTTCTTAAAATACTGGAAATCACGGTCTGAGAAGGACAACGTTGCCACAGCAACTGCCCAGTGTTTCTGAGATGTATTCCTGCATCTTTCACAACAATCATGAATGCCACAAACTGCTGAGGCATTTGCTGCAAACAAAGCCAAGCTATAGCAAAAGAGACTAGAAAAGAGCACCGAGGAGTCGGTTGTTGTAAAGGTGAGATGTGTCAGGCTCAGGGAAAAAGTGGTAGGCGTTTACACTTCATGTTAAATGCCCTAAGCATCTGGAATGCCATGCAAGCGTATGGAGTGTTTCAACACTTGACAGTATCTGACATGACAGTGAATAATGTCACTTGGCTTGTGATGCAACTCCGTGATCCACTGGGGAGGGTGACATTTATTCCATCCTGAAGGGAAATATTTTCAGACATAGGAGGCCAAAGTTAGCCGCCTCCCCTTTGGTATGTTAAATAGACTTCTTTCTGGGACAGAAGATGCCTGTCAAAGAGTGTAACTTGTCAGCCAGAAGTGATCAACTTTTTCAGGGGTTTGGGTCTGGTCTCGCTATGGACTGGTGAACAGAGGGCTGTACTGTGGGTCAGGAGATCTAGCACATCCATTCCCCTTTTAGCCTTGGTTTTCTTATCTGCTAAACAGAATTAATATTGTTATATTATCAGTGCATATAATCTTTGGGTCATCTATTTAGAAAGACAGACAATCAGTACCATATGGTTCCATTGTACTGCGGTTAATACAAGGGAAAATACACCTGTGAGCTATCTGAGGACTTTTTTTTAAGGAACAGAACTTAAAAGAGTTGCAGGCTATATCAGATGTGTTGGTTCTGTATGCAGTGTCTTCTTTTCTGAGATGGCTGATGTCTGTGTGTGAAAAGCTGTATGAAAGAGCCAGACATGATTACCTATTGAACTTCGCTTGGGAAGGGGCCAAAGTGAGCAGTTTGTGTTTCGAACAGTGGTGTGTGCACATTTGCACTAGTTGAAATGGAGTGGTTTGTGGCCTGATGCTATACTGGCACTTCAGTCACGTACCCTAGCACTTTTCCAAACGTTATAACATTTGGGAGAATAGGTTCTGCTCTGGGACTTCTGAATTTCCATTTTGAATGTTTGTACATGTGGGAGACTTTACCTCATGTATTCTATGCAGACATTGTGCAAAGTTGCAAATAAAAAACATAGATGGTAAGTGTTGTATTACTGCTTTTGTTGCAAAGCTGGTGTTATTTATATGAAGCTTTAAGAGGTTCAGTCCAACTGTCTTTTTCCTCCTGAGTGTGACTGATGTGCTTTTATGCACAGCCTTTTGGTGGCAGAAATGTGTCTTTGTTAAAAGCAGACAGACAAGAGTCAGGAAGGGATGTGGCCCAGTTGTCCCAAATGCTCTGCTAGGGTAGGAAACTTAGGGTAGTTTTAGCAGCAGCAGCTCAGATTCATTTAAACACCAACCCAAGCCTCATGTGATTTTAGTGTTATAAAAGCCAATCAGGTTATTGTTTTAAGGTATAAGATGCCCCTAAGGGCTTCGCTCACTCAACTGTACTGAGGAATTAAATGCTCTCAGGCAGCGCAACAACCTCATTCACTCCAGTGTTGCAAGGCAAGGCAGTCATCGCTGGTAAATGGGGCCATATTATAGTGACATTAGCATTTTAATGCAACTAAAGAGGAGGTAGATTGACTGTAATTTAGTATCTAGTTGCATGGCCTTGTGCAGGTCCCCTCATCGCTGCTCCACAGGGGCCGATTATAGTTACACAGTGCACTTTGGAATCTAATTGGATTTACATGCAGTAATGTAGTCGTGTCACAGCAATGACTATGCAAGCACTATGAAATTCCAGTGCAATTAGTTATTTATGTAGGAGCAATAGTTACAGGATAATGCATAGGGCCGACAGCTTGTGCCAAGCTCCAGTTCAGGAGCAGCAAATGTTTCACTTTTTTCTGAAGCCATTGCAAGGGAATGATATTAATCTGATCCTGCTTCCACAGAGATGTTTCTCCTCACCCTTCACCATAAAAGCACTGACCTGTTGCAGAGATGCAGCAGGACATGACTTCTGTCTTCAGCTTCTCCTTTGGCTGAACATATGGGCTGGCATGTGTTTCGGTTTCTCTAGATCCTGCAAATGTGGTGAGCAAAGGGGACTGGCAGCAGCTAGAGGCACTTGTGAAGCAGGACACCTGTAAGCCATTCATCTGGTGGCCTTCCTGCACTAGTTAACATGCAGGAGACTGGATTTCTCCCAAAGGCAGGCCTTGCTTCTCCATCTTGCACCCTCCATTCATTTATTGTTCCACTTGCTACTTACTGACTATATCAGCCTCTTTTTGCCCCCTCCCTCTTTGCTCTGGCTCTCCAACTGTCTTGCTTGCATGAGACCAGCAGGAGTCATGAGTTTAGCTGCTTTTCCTTCATCAAAGTCTGCTCCTCACAAAGAGCTGCTCTAAAAGCAGCGAACGTGAAGAGAAGCCAATGCTCAGCTAGGAGACTTGATGCGGTGGCTGTGCGACGAGCGAGGAGGCAGGACAACGTGCCAAACGCAGCTGCTCAGCCAGCTGAGGCAGCACGGCTTGCACACGCGCAGCCCCAAGGAAGGAGGCTTGGCCTCGGCCGTTACTCCAGCTTCCACTGTGTTTCCCCAGCGACTGTAATTAAAGGCATCAGCTTGCTCGAGTCACAATTAGGCATGGTGGTTTTGCACTTTCTGCAATTCTCCCTAATGACAAAATCGTAGCTATTAACCAAGGAGAGTCTGTTTGGCAGGGACTTCCTCCCCTTTAGGGCCATAGAGTAAGATGGAGTATTGCTATTGTTTGGCACCAAATGCACTTTTTCATCCCTTCTGACACAGCACCTGCTGGTACCTACTGAAGCATTTAAGCTCTTCCTCTCTGTGGTGCTGTAATTTCTTTAAAATATTGTGACTTAAGAGGAATAAAAAAATAAAATTCCTCTCCCGCGCAGACCTTTGAGGGCTTGTAGGGATGTAATTATATGCACACGCAGTAGGAGCAGGAATCCTATCATTCTGGTTATTTTCTTAATGATAGGTTTATATAGCACAGTGTCATCTCTGCTTTAAAGTTAGAACCATCTTCTCCTGGCAGCAGCTATCCCAGGATAGTGGCGTCACAGGATAGGACAGCTGAAGAAATTGTCTCTCAGTTGCACATGCAAAACACAGGATGAAGTATCCCCACACACAAAAAGATAAAAAGGTGAGGGTGGGCACTGGGCTCTGACTGTCAAAAAGGGGCCCTCTGCTGTGGGGCAGTGACACTGTCTCTTGTCCTAGCTGTAGACTCTCCAAGCCACCCTCCGGAGGTCCCTGAGCCTGCTGCAACCATCTCCCAGCCGGTCATGTAGCACCTTCTGAACTTCCACACTGGTGGTAAAGCTGTACTGATCCGGGGCAGCCTTCATACACGGCATTGTAAAGTGGGGCAATTCAGCTGCTGCTCAGCAGATGCCTTCAGTACTTTGCAGCAGAGCTGGGTCGATTGGCTATAGATGTTTGTCCCCTCAGATTTCAAAAGGGAAGCCATCCCTGCTCATCATTCGGAGATGTAGGTTCACAGTGACAGAGGAAGGACATTAAATGTGAGGGATTAATGCAAAACAAAAAGTCTATGAATATTCATTATATGTTTTATATTGTAATAGTTTCAGCCACCTTGAAACTCTTTGTTTGTTTCCTGCCAACAACAAACAATAGACTTTTACTCACAGAAGTCTTAATGGGAGGTAATTTTCAAAGGCACGTTCACAAGTGTTTGTGGGAAACAGATGTTAAATGCACCCCCTCCAGAAATCATGATGAAATGCTGGCAGTGAGCAGCAATAGACCCAGGTGACTTATCTGATACCTCACAGGGAAGCAGTGGCTTCAGCAAAGCTGCGAGTATTCCAAAGTGATTTGCGAAGGATGAGTGAGTGAGTTACAGTGCCGAGCAACCTGATGTGAATATTGGACCCTTATGGCATGGGGCGCTGTTTGAATAGTTAAAGGCTGCCCCTTCCCCACAGGTCCTGCAGTGTGGGGTTGGGGCTTGTCGGACGGGTGGAAAAAAACAATCTAGGAAAGCGTGCCCTGAGAAAGCAACAGTCAAATAAGCATGCTTTGCATGTTAGTTTGTAGTCTCACCTCACCTTTGCCTGGCCAAAGACTGTCATTAACATTGTGCAGGCAGAAATGAAAATTTCCTGATAAAATTGTAACTGTTAGCTCAAGGGCAGTGGCCGTCTGCACCCAGGTCCCTCTGCCTCCACTGGTTTATCTAGGCCTTTGGGCGGGCAGTGCAGTGGCTTCACCGTTCCTCTCTGTTGCTGCTTCCCAGGCAGTGACAATGAGGCAGAGGGAGAGGAAATAGTTTGCTCAACTTGGCGTGAGAGCTGGCTGGAAGAATGAGGACTAGCGCCCAGCGTCTCAGGCCGTTGCTCTTAATGGCTGGGCTGGGCTTCCCAAAGATGCATTCCATCTCCATTCCTCTGCCTTTTCCATTTTCCCAGTAAATGTGCTGTAAAGTCACAGCAGATTAAAGTTTGTCTAAACCTCCTATAAAATATTGAAGGTGCAGCTGGTATTAATCTAGTCCTGTTGTGGTATGAGGTGCATGTGTAATGGGACTATAGATTTACATGTGGTCTGTGGGCATTTAAAACACCCCAAAGGTTGTTAAAGAGATTCTGAGGAATTGGATCCCTCACTGGGTATTAAAAGCTCTTCATTAGTGCTAATGTACACTAAATTAAGGTGGCAATTAGACTGAGCATATTCATCAGGATGGTATGTTTTAATAAATTGTGTATTTAACATGATTGCATTTTATTGACTTCTGCAGTAATTGCATATTTTTCTCTTACAGGACAAGCTTGGCTAGAAAGAGATACATGGGACACACAGACAATTAAAGACTAGAATAGACACTGCTTCAAGTCCCAAGATTTGTGAAGGTGAGTCTTGTTTACGGCTCGCTCTTTCTGCATGCCAGATGCTTTCACTGTATCTCTGTCAAGGCTGGTTAGGTGTAGCTATGGTGTGCAGCAGGGGGATAAGAAATACACAGCTCATCTGCCATCGTATCACCTGCGAGGTGTACTGCAGCAAGTCATCCCCCTTCAGTCTCCTAATTAAACTGTCCCTATATCTGTTTTATTTAGAGGAGCAGACTGTGTGGAAATAATACTATCTAGAGGAGCAGACTGTGTGGAAATAATACTCTCAGAGGGTTTTCTGCAAGGCACCACCTGTTAGATGTGTTCTCTTAGCAGACCCCACCACTTTGGTTTGAAAGAGTTGGGTACTGCTTGCAGATGGTGAACACAGAAATTCTCCTGGTAGAGGGGTACTCCATGAAGGAAGGCAAGCATGCTGAGCCAAGTCTCTGTACCTGCAAGCAAAGGGTGGGCTGCCATGGTGCTGGGGAGAGGATGCAATGGAGCGATGCCAGGTTGTGGTGGTCCTCCACCACTGGTGCAGCTTAGAGCTTCAGGGACATTTCTAGTGACATCTCAGCTGGGACAGCCTCTAGAAATTGAGGCACTGACTTGGAAGAGAATCTGGTCCGCATTTTCTAATTCCTTTAAGGGCTGTCTGGCAGTGGTTCTGGAGAGCTTCAAACATGTCTTCTGCTTTTACTTGGTTGCATTGTGCATGAATATGAAAGTAGGTGTGAGTTAGCACCATTTTCTCTTCAAGCCATCGGCTAATATTTTGTAGGAGGTACTGCGGAACTGGTTCTTAGGTTTTAAAGGAAGCAATGGATCAGTTCAGCGGACAAGGTCTTCGTGCATGTTGACAGCAGATATTTATGTGAAAAGAAGATATACGTGGACAATGTGGTAGAAGAGAAGTGACTGAAAAAGTGGTTTGCGTGAGGGTTGGACAAGGTGACCTCTAAACATCTCTTCCAGTCTTGGTTATTCTGTGATTTCTATCAAGTATTCAAGGAAAATGGTTCACTCACTTGTTTTCAGTAGAGGGTAGGAGTGGTATGATATGGAAGATGCAAGGATTGAGACTGGTGAAGATAAGGTGCTCCTGAGAGTTCTGATAGACTGGCACATCTGAGGGATGCTCTTGTTCCTTTTGCCACAAGGTAACTTGGACACACCTTGGACAGCTGTTTTGAAAAATCTTTTCACAAGGAGGGTGGTCAAACATTGGAAGAGGTGCCCAGGGAGACTGGGGGATCTCAGTCCTTGGAGGTATTCAAAACTTAACTAATGTGACCCTGAGCAACCTGCTCTAACTTTGAAGTTGGATCAAACTTTGGAATTGGCTCAGGTTGGAGGCAGTGGGTGTTTGTACTCAATGACATCCAGAGGTCCTGTCCAACCTAAGTTTTTCAGTGATTCAGTCTCCAAGGCAAAGGTAAAGGAGCAATTGAAGTGAAACTGTGGGTTTCAATCCAGTGTGAAAGGGATATGGAGGTAGAGGGAAATGTCAGTGGTAGCAAATAGAAACTTGGAAGCAGTTTTTGGGGGTGTGGTTGAGCAGCTGCCTTTAGATATGTGAAGTTCAAGGTAGCTGCAAGGCGTGCAAAAGCAAATGTCAGAAGGAAGGAAATAAATGGTAGCTGGAGAACAAAAAAATGCATTGCCCTGAAAAACTAGACTTTATTCCTAACTGATTACAGCAGCTGGAGTATGTTTCCTAGCCACACTGCTGGGGATTTTTAGCTTCCCCATCACTTTGCAAGATAAAATTCATATTAGGGGGGGAGAAATGTAGAATAATGTGCCTAAAAAAAAGCTGAACATTTATAGCTACATTTCAGACAAAAACAAATGCATCTCATGTCTCACAGGTCTGAGATGGGACAAGCCAGGGAAAGCATCTGTCAGCCGCTGTCTTTTGCAGTTCTGACTGTTAATGTTTGCTTAGCATTTAATGTCTCCTGCAGAGGAGAACTTAATCTGTCACAAATTTGGGGCCTGGAGGAAGGGAAGGAAGATACTTTTAAATGGTAGGTTAAGACATACACGTTCAGTTTTTATCGCACTTGCATCAGTGTGTAGTAGGAGTAACTTACAAAATTTGCCTTTTGTGTGTATGGCTTAAAAAGAAAAGTGGAAGGAAAAAGCAGCTTTGTGGGTCAGGATTGTTTTTTCATGTCAGTTATTTTCTCCATGCAGCCTGTCATCAGGGACTTCAGGTACCTTCAGCTAATTAGTAAGGCAGCAGTTGGCACAAATGGTTTCATAATTACATTACTTGTAAATAACATTATTTGCATTTTGCTTGCATTGTTTGTAAATAGCATTAGTTATGTACTCTTCAAAGTCTAGAGCACTACTGCATATATGAACTAGATGGTAATATATTTCATATACGCTGGAGTGCTTGAGCTCTGACATGAAATGGTTTTAAGTGCTACGTAAGAGGTCAGATCATGCTTTTGGTTGATTTGCCCTGTTTTAATCAGTGCATTCACAGGATCCAAATGGTGATCTTGCAAGTGCTGTTCAGGAATCTGGGTACCCAGCAGAAACTGGAAAGTGTGTGTTATGCTGGTGCGTGCGGGTCTCTTCAAGCTCTAAGTTCCAGCACTGAAACAGTTGCTCAGAGCTCCTGTTTCTCAGATCAGGTCAGTGGGTTGGCATTTTTTGGAAGTTTGCATTGAGCTCTTATGATGTGGAAACTCTGACATGCTCTGTTCTTGGCTTTGCCAGCCCAGACCTTGCACTGTTGCCACTGACGTCCATTTGCACATCCTGAGTTGAAGGACTTTGGGATTTGTAAACCCCACTGGGTGTGTTCCTGGCTTGAAGCACAGCACAACTGGTAGGGCTGTGCTTAGTTGTTGCTTTGCTGTGTGAAGTGTGGTGGGTTTAGAAATTACAAATCTGAGCCTAGCACGACCGCTGGGGACAATTTCTTGCCCAGGCAAACAAGGGAGTCCTCACTTGTCAAAGCTGAATGTGCACGTGTTCATGCTGCTCCCAGGTTACTGTGACTGTGTGGCCCTGCCAGTGAAGTTTTCAGGACCTGATTGCTCAATGGGTTTAGAGTCTCCCTTCCCTGCTCATGCCTAGAAAACATTTTAACATACTGCGTGGATGCACGGGCAGGAGCAATGCAAGGAATCGTAGCTTAGGTTTGTCTTTGGAAAGAAAAGGAGGCCTGTACTCAGCTCATGTAAATCAGAGTGGTTCCAAGGGAGCCTGCTTGTCTTGCAGAGGAAGCAGACCCAGACATGGAAAGTAAAGTAAGGCGGGAACATGATTTATCAACTCTACAAAGCAGCAAGACAGCGTTAGACTCAGGAGCTGCTGCTTCTAGGACCATAGGCAATGTTTTTCATGTGGGTGCCTCTGCAGTGAGATGAGTGTGAATGATGTGAAGTGGCACAACGCAGCTAAACTTGTTTGCTTTTTATTCCTTTTTTGCCTAAGGCTACTGTGATATGAATTATGTGGGTGGGTGCTCAAGGCAGCAGGACTTGGAAGTTTCTCAGATAACTTTCATACTTTGGCTAATATACTGAGATTTAGCCTTCCTTTGTTTCATTGGAGTATAACTTTCGTTTGGTGATGGGAACATCTGGGTGCCACTAATTGTGGGGCTCTTGAAGTTCCAGTATCCTATCGATTTGTCTGTATTTTCATATCCCTCTCTACTATAGTGTCCAAGCTCATCGGTTAGTGGAGCTGAAGGTTCACCTGTCCCATGAAACTGAAGAATTCCCTCCCCAGCTCCTTACTCTTCGGACTTCAAGATCTCCTTTCTCTGTGAGATTTGCAGACATGGCTTTAAACACTGTCAGGAAGCTGTGGGCATCTCCTCCAGGCCCACGTCAGAGCTCTGTGCCCCACTCCATCTCCTGCAGTCATGGTCTTGGCTTTGAGTCTCTCTTGGCAGAACAGTTGTGTGTCAGAGGTGTAAGAAAATAAACTTTGTAAAGAAAAATATTGCCCTCGTTCTCAGGTTCAGATTCAGGCTTGTGTTTCTCCAGAAGCGAGGTGGACTGTAAGACTGGCTTTGTGGATCTTCTTGGGATTCCTATAGCAAAGGGGATTCCCTGGGCAGTACCCAGCCACCAGAGGCATGCTGCTGTCCTGCCTCAGGCATGTGAAGATGCAGAAGGAAAGCAGCTGCATGTCCACATGAGCTTCTGTGTTGCACCATTTGTGTGTCTGCCTGTTTTGCCACTAGGAAGGAACTGATCTGATTTTTAAACCAAATCAAAGAAGTGCAGCAAACACACACTGTATGATAAAAATCTGGCTCTTGCCTCAGGCAGCCCCTTGCTGTGGGAGCTCTTCCTGCCGTGGGTTTTCTCAGCTCTTCGGCTAAAGCACAGCAGTTCCCGTGGTCACAGAGGGAAGTACCCCGCGAGGCTCTACAGCACTCCCAAGTTTTGTGGATTAACAAAAACAATGAAGAAGTAAAAGGAAGAGTTTTATTTCTGGCCTGGTGAAAACCTTGGATAATTTCTGTTTTTTTCTTTTAAGTGAATTGAATGTACTTTGCTAACATAGCGTATCCTTGCATGCAGGTCTATTTAGGGAATGGCATTTGCAGTGGAGAAAGGGAAAGAGGTGGGTTAAGAAGCATATGGGCTTCGGGAAGGCTTCTCTAGGGAGCTAAGCAAACTTGTGCCTCTGTGTTTGCATATGTATGCATCCATCTGTGCACGGTGCCATGACTGCGTTATCTTCTGTTTCAGTGAAAGTTTTACTATTTTATGTATTTATTTGTCTGTCCCTCTAGGGTACTTGGTAATATAATTGGATATTGGGAGACACAGTCACTTCGTTAAACAGCAAGCAGAACCTTTCTTTTAATGTAGCCTCACCTGGTCAGGATTTATAGCTGCTCTTCCAACAGAAGTACTGTCCTAAGCAGTTTGTTGTCTAATTCAGACATGGAGTTTCAAAACTGGTTAAGATTCCTTAACATTTTTTCCTGGTCTTAAAAGCTTACCAACATTGATCCATGGGCTCTGCCTGCAAAAGACCTGTGCAGGGTGGGGTGTAGAGCACCAGGACTTCACTGGCACAGTAACATTTCACACTGCATGACAAGCAGTTGTTGTGCCCCAGGCTGAGTAACTGTGTGAGGACAGCCTCCTCAGGCCCTCCCATGTCCACACACTGCAGTCATTCTCAGCCCAGCTCTTCCAAATGTCTACAAGTTTCCCTGAAAATGTTGTCCATGTTTGTGTGGCATTCATTCTGTAGAGGAAGCTTGTACGGAGCTAACTGTCCCAAATGCTTGCTTGTGAGTCTTTCAAATGGGCGCAGCTTCTTCTGGCTCCTGTGTCGATACGACCTTTTTGGCGTGAAATAGGCAGGTACATACAGTGCTTCTTGGACTTGACAGGCTTTAGGGACTGGGAAAAAAAAAATCTTCATGTGCAGAGGGATATTTTTTTCCCCAGCATCTCACTCTGCAAGCAAAGCTAGAGCTTTCCTCTCCTGCAACCTTGCTCTTCACATCTGAGTTCGCCTTTAGACTGTGAAGAATACAAAGGCACTCAGCAGTGATCATTGTCTCTTACTAGCCTGTGCTGTGTTGCTTTGTTCAGGTAAGAAATGAGCTCTTCTGTGTAATGAACTCCACAGGATCTTGGGGGAAATACAAATGTCACTCCAATAAAAAATGAGCATGCTAAGGAAGTGCTGGTGTTTTGCAGGAAGAATTGGATCAAGGAGCCTGAAGACCATGGAGGGAGACTGTCTGAGCTGCATGAAGTACCTGATGTTTCTTTTCAATTTCTTTATATTTGTAAGTATTTAGAATCTGCTTTCTCTCCTGAATCCTCCTGTTTTCAGCAGCCTGCTGCTCCCCAGGATAGGCTGTAATTTGGTAAAGTTGCCATGGTACAGAGTATACCCTCAGCTTGGACTAGCAATCACTGAGGGTTTTGCAGCATCCAAAGATGCTCAGACATTCAGCAAGCCAGCGCAGTGGTCACTGTTGTCTGAGTTATTCCTGTCCTTGGCAAGGGAGACCAGAGGGAAAACTGTAACTAGTGGTGTACATGGTCTATCCTTGAACGGCAGAAGAAATTGTCTTCTAGTCCTAGGTGCCCTGCTGAGGTTTTCACTAGGAAACACAGTCATTTTCCTACCACATGTAGAGTCATTCTCAGTGACCCTGTTGCTCTTGTCTTTGGCAGGAAGGGTGGGAGCGCCCAGCCACCCTGGCCTCTGTGGTGGGGATGGTTCACGTGTGCCCCTTCGCTGGGCTGTCCCCTACAGATGTGGCAGCAGCTTGAGACTCTGTCTTTCAGCGTTAGGGAGGGAGTAAACAGTTGGTAGACTGACGTGTCAAGGAAGAAAGGTGCTTTTGTTGCAAATGGTTCATTTAGCGAGCAAGAGATACTCAGAGTAGCATGTCAACAGTCACCTGCTCAGCGGAGAATATATGCCATGGAGAAACACAAATTCTCCCAAGTGAACACCTTTGATCAAAAGATAGCAATGAATCCAGTTTTTGTGCAGCATTTGTTTTATGTTGACCTATCTCCCCTCTCTCTCCTCTCCTTGTGCCGTGACAGCTGGGAGGAGCGTGCCTGCTGGGAGTTGGGATCTGGGTCATTGTGGATCCCACAGGTTTTCGAGAGATAGTGGCTGCCAACCCTCTGCTCTTCACGGGAGCGTACATCATGCTGGCTATGGGAGCAATGCTCTTTCTGCTGGGTTTCCTTGGCTGCTGTGGTGCCATCCGTGAGAACAAATGCCTCCTGCTTTTTGTAAGTGTCCTTGCATTTTCTGTTGGCCTTTTGGTGCTTCCCAAGAATGGGGGTGACTGGATAGATGATGCTGTGATAAGTGCATGAATGGGTGTCTGTTATTGTAGCCATTATTCCCTTAGATAATAAATAGGCTTAGGGTACTTTGTCTTCTGCAAGTGGCACAGCCCCCTGCGCTCGACGGTAGCTGAGAGGGGGCAAAGCATCCAGATATCCCACTGGTGGGAAAGGGAGGCCCAGCCAGCCTGTGCAAGGTCTGCCAGCACTCCATAAAGGAGTTGATGATTGCCAAGTGTAGTGTGAGCCCTTCTTTCCCGTCTGCCGGCCCTGCCCCTGGAGCGTGGAGAGGTGCCATCTCTTCTACATGGAGCCCCGAGGGAGAGGGGAGGAGAGGGCCTGGTACATCAGACTCCTGCGTCCAGATCATTGAAGAGCACTGGCCCTAAAATTGAGCCCTGGGTAACCCCACTGGTGACTGGCTGCCAGCCTGATGTAACCCCATTTACTATAACTCTTTGAGTCCAACCCATCAGCCAGTTGTTCACCCAGTGTATTATGGACTTGTCTAGCTGTGTGCTGGACATTTTGTCCAGAAGGGTACTGTGAAAGACAGTAGCAAAAGCTTTGCTAAAATCCAAAAAACCCCACATCTACTGGCTTTCCTTGGTCATTTAGGTGGGTGACCTTGTCATAAAAGGAAATTAAGTGCAGGACTTTCCCTTCATGAACCCGTGTTGGCTATGACCAATGACTGTGTTGTCTCTCAAGTGTTTTTCAATAACTCCCAGAATGACCTTCTCCATAATTTTACCTGTCTCACCTGAAGTGAGACTGACAGGCCCATAATTACCAGGGTCTTCCTTCTTACCCCTCTTGAAAATTGGGACCATATTTGCCAGCTTCCAGTCGACTGGGACCTCTCCAGACTCCCAAGACCGTTGAAAAACAATGGAGAGAGGTCCCATGATAACATCAGCCAGCTGAAAAGTACCCTGGGACGAATCCCATCGGGTCCCATAGACTTATGTGTATCCAGCTGGAGCAGCAAGTCTCAAAAAGTTCAGAGTCAGTTGGGAGTTTATCATCCCCCCAGTCATGGTGCTTCCCAAGAATGGGGGTGACTGGATAGATCATGCTGTGATAAGTGCATGAATGGGTGTCTGTTACCGTAGCCATTATTCCCTTAGATAATAAATAGGTTTAGAGTACTTTTACACACAGCTAGAAATACAGAGAATTTGCTTTTTCTCTATACCAGATTTGAGCCCAGTTGGGTATGGAGTCTGGGAGTGTATTTTGACCTTGTTAAGCTTTGTTTCAAAATGGTCCTATTTGGTTGTTTGGGGTTTTTTTTTTTAACTTTTATAAAGTGACCAAAAATGGTCCTCTCTTGGCCACCCAAAACCCACTGCTCCACTTGTGGATTCATTCCTCAGTGGTTCACAACAAAGCATAAGGAACATGTAGAGCAAGGCATCTGTGTAATGGAGCCCCCCATGCCAGCAGAAATGCCCAGCTCAGAACTGCATGGTGGCCTATCATTGCAGCTCTCAATAGCAGCCTACTCTGCTCCTAAAATGAACCAGATTTGTTATCTTCGGGCAAATTTTCCCCTGAATGATAGGGTTAAATTTCAGCCCGTGTGGTCATCAAGTACTATTTACAAAGAGCCAGCCTCTCAAATAAGTCACACTTGACCTCTACCATAAGTTCTAATACTGCAGGGTTTCCAGCCATTATGTCTTACTGGAAGGCATTACCAGTTATGTATTGAAAGACAAAGACCATTAGTTTTATTTTTCATTTTTGTCAAACGTGACCTTTTGTTTCTCCCTCTGGGTCTGTTGGGGCTTTGTTTTTTTTTTCTTCTTTGTTTTTTTTTAAATCTTGATCTTACGGTGTTTTGTTATGGTTGTATCTTGCACAGCTGCTTCATGGTGCAGAAGAGGCTTGTCTCTAACTTTAAATAGAACAGGAAAGTCCTCTTTCTTGAATGCAAAACCATTTTTTCGTAGGGATGAGCGTGACTTCACTGAGAGAAATTCTCTCTGGCACTTGGCTCACCCACCCCTTGAATTCATAACCTGCAAATGAGAGCCCTTTTCTGGAAGCCATTGTGGGTTTGATTTCTAGTGACTCATCTCAGAAGTAAATCAGAAAACCAAATGTATCACCTGTGAAGTCGTGAAGATCTGCCCAGAGGAACCTAATAAAATGCAAAGGATCAGGCCCAATGAGCCTGGGGTTACTTCAAAGCCTGTCCCTGTCAGATTAAGAAACTAAAAGTTATGTTTGATGAGAAGTATTGACTTTAAGTGAATGGGAGAGTAATATTTTCAGTTTGGACCATGTCTGCTGCATACAGATTGGGGACCTGGCTGGAGGAAAGGAGCTCTGGGCCATGCTCTTTCCTGATTTAACATCACAGAGTTACATCACGGTTTGAATGTTCCTCCTGGTGTTTTAGTTATACTCCAGTGCACTCAATTTTGTGGTTATTACTTTTCTGACTCTTAGAGATAGTTCTGAGCCCTGCTGCTTTATTTATTTACTTTTATTATTATTTTATTTTATACTTGGAATGTGAGAAATATATGGGCTGGAAGTAATGCCCTGGACTAGGAGAAACTCTAGAAGTAATTACTGGATGAGGAATTAGTGTTCCACTTTGATCAGGTCTTCCAGGGCTTCTGGTATCAAAGTCAACTCTGTTAAGCAACCTGCCATCTCATGTCCAACAGCAGTGAAGCACTTGGACAAGGATCTGTGCTGATACGAAGTGAGAAGAGATATGTTGCTAATTTCTGCTTTTTTGGGGGCCACACCAGCTGATGTTCAAATGCATAAACCATCTGTGAATCCAGAAGTCTCATGGGAGTAAGTTTTAGGCATTGAAAAGGCAAACCATTCATGAGCACATGCCAGAGAGACTGGGAACACCTTGCAAAATGGAGAGTGTTAGGCTTTGGGGGGTGGTACTTGGGGAGAAGTTGCTAGATCAAATCAAGTCCACTTACAAAGTTGTTAAAGAATTGATGAGCCAGAGAGCTGCTTGAATGAGATTTCACAGTGATGCATAATGTATATTTGAAGCTTTTAGCCCAAATGTAAACAGAAGATAGAGGGGACAAGACAGATGCACAAATGCATGTTCTCTAGGTTCTGGCTTTTGTGTTTGCAAGGACTTTTATTTTTCATTAAGCTGCTTGTCTTTTGGTAAAAGAACATCACTGTGGAACCTAACACGCTGCATTAAGCACAAGGCTGTGAAGTGTTTCTAGATTTCCCAGCATTTGGACTTGGCTCACAAAAAGCAACAAACATAGGCCTGCAAATCAGACATTTAATAACTTCTGGATTGTCCTAAAGACACTCTGACTGCAAAAGAACACCATAAAAAGCAGAATCCAAAGTGCTGTTGAGCATACAACATTGCACCACGGGACTGAATTCAGCTTTGCAACAAGAACAGTCCATGTTAGCTTCATTTGGCTTAGTTTTGAGTGCAGACGTCCTATTTTGCACTCTTGTAAAATGGATGCAGTAGCCCCTGAAACTTTTCAGCATGAAAACGTGGGTCCTTCGGGTTAAAGGCAGTTGCTGCTCTTTTTGGAACAGCATTGCTGAAACTGGAACAGTAAATGAGTTGTGAAAAAGAAACATGAAACATTGATTTGTGGAAGCTTCTGATAAACCTGTAACCATCACCAGGAGCTGAGGCAGAATTTTTGACCAACATGTGAGACCCCCCTCCTCAGGATGTTCACCTTGGATGTGGGGGGTACTGGTGGTCAACTGTTGGGTCCCAAGCGTGAATTTGAATGTAAGGCTGCTGTGTCCCATGCATTAATCAGTTGCCTGTTTAGTGCTCTCATATATCAGTAATCAATTTAATTTTGGGTGGCAAAACATAATAAGCAGATTTTGACTCTCCTTAAAATGCAGAATGAGAGCAAGTTCTGAAACACTGATGATCGATCTTCTTTTTCTCATCAGCCCTAATGGCTGCTCGTGTTTTTTCTACAGTAACTGTTACGAATCTGTAATGCAGACTGCACAATGTAAGTATAAATCAGTTTGGGAATGATAATGAAGCTTATCAGAGAGAATCTGGGAATGGCTGCTTCCACTTCTGCACAGACCTGTACTGGAGCTTGGGTGAACATGTGTCTCCCAGTAATCAGTAAATGAAATGCAATTAGCAGGGTGATGGGATTAATCACTTGATCACCACCTTAGACCTCTTAGTGACTATGCTGAGATCCTTTGATGGATGATGATGTGAATTTGCAAAGCATCGTTCATTCTCATCACTTGTTCTTTGCCCTCCTGTGGTGAAATTAAAAACAAAACAGTCTCTGAGCAGGAAAAAAAAAAAAGCCGCACAGAAAACTCCAGCAGTAGGAATAAATTACAGAGTTAACTAGTTCAGCAAAATCAAGCAACAGCATTCTGTTAGCAACCGAAGTCCCTGCTCATCTGATGCTTCTTGTTTTGTCATTTGAGTCCAGGCTCCTTTTCTTTTGTTTCCACTGCAGAAGCAGGAAGACAAATGGGACAGGGTGGTGCATGCACTTTTCCAGTGGGGAAAAATCACTTACAGCTCTGATAATTGACAACAAAGCAACATTGTGCCCATTCCAAGCAGGTAGTTTGAATTCTGTCTCCATTACTGAAATGCACAGTGCACAGCATTTCAGACACTGTTTATAAATCATTGCTTGGGGATCACTATAGTACTCTGGCCCCATCTGTCTGCCTTCTGTTTCAGAAAGACCTTCAATAACCTTCTCACACAAAAAAACCCATCCATACTTCTCTTGTGTTTATTTCTACTTGTTGCTTCAACCACCTTTGTTGGTAACATGTACTACATGTTTATTACCCTCCATGTGATGCGGTCTTACTGGGTTATCCGTTCACTCCTGTTTTTCTCACATGGTGCCAAAATCTGAGCTCATTTCTAAACGTTCACTCAGTTTTGTAAAATCATCATTGAGTCTGTGGGCTAATTCTTGGGATCCTTGAATTTTAGAAGGGCTGACTCTCACATGGTGATTTCCCTTTATGGCTATAAGAACATAAAAGATTTCTATCTAGTTCAGACTTATGGTTCCTCAAGCCCACTATTTTGTCTTCAAGAATGGAAATAAATGCGATTTCGGGAGAGGGTTGTGAGCCTAGCCACCTTCTGCTCTGTTCCCATAGAAGTTCCTCTGCACCAACACTTGTTGTTTTAAGGATGTTAGAGGGCACATCCCTGCCTGTTCCTTTTACTGTTTGTTATGGACTGAAGCAGCATCAAACTAGCATGAGGCATCAGTGTAACTGAGAATTGGTCCCAAAGACAGGCTGAGTCCTGAGCTTGATGTCGGTGAGTGCTTTCCTGCCCTGGGAGATTTGTTCCCTTCAACACTCTTTTCCTCTCTATTTGAGTTTTACCTCTAGCTGTGTACCAGTTTTCTGTGCCACCTCCAGGCAGGAGGGTCTGAGGTGGGAGCCCGCAGGAGTCCTGGCGCTTATCCCAGGCAGGAAATGCTCCACAGTACCTGAGCGCTCTGGGTAGACAAGGTTCTGGGGACAGCACCCTCACAGCAAGACATCAGTCTCTCTGGGGGTGAGACCTCTTAAATGCATCTGATTTACTTCTGTGGGGTGGGTGGTGAAGACACGGTGAATTGCTCAGGCTTGGTAACATCACAGAAACAAGATGCCTTTAGTAAGACTGAAGACCAGACTTCTAGACCGAAGCAGCAGAAGGTTGCAAGGGCAACAGGATGAAAATACAGTTCCAGCTTAAATTGAACAACCACGTGCCTCTCTGCTTTCATTTGTCTTCCCTAGAATTATGATGACATAAGTGTAATGGTTTTACTTCAAACTGGATGCCTGTTTCTCTTTTGCTAACACTCAATCTGCTGGCTATTGCTTTCTGTCAAGTCTGCAGTGTGCCCTTAATTTAAGGGTATGAATATGCACACTTTGGATACTATACAAGACATGGATGATGCTTGCATAATCAAAGTAAAATTATAATGGTGTGTTATCAACTTTCTGTAGAGGTTCTGCATGGTTAATACTTAACTTAGCGCAACGCTGTTGTGTGGAGGGGGATATTAACCAAGGCTAATTTTGTCCTGAAATGCAGAATACTCTGAAAAAAGTCCATTTTTGGTCATAGGTGTAAATATTTGAGTATATGTCCCACTACCTCCTTCCATACAAAATGAGCCATGATCATACTACACTAAAATTGTTTATGTTGTTTATGTTGTGATGTGGGGTGTGTGTGCGTATGTAGGTGTATGCATATGATGCATACACCTGTGTCAGGACAGTTTAACCCTGTATGAGCATCTACACAATAATATAACTATTTCCATCAAAGCAGGCTTTACTGTTTTAACCTGGTACAGATTTATCAGGGGATGCTACGGGTCGTGTAGCCTTATTCCCTTTTACCCATTAGAAGCAGGCAAAAGTGTCACAAGCCTCCCATGTCCTGTGAGGTGATCAGAGAGGGGCTGTGTCTGCTCCAGGTTACTGTCTCATAGGGTTTTTTAATTGTCAGGGGGAAAAAAGTTTCCTCAGTTATTTTTTCCATCTCTGTAGTGACTAGCAAAACCCTGTCTTTCTACTACCTATTGCACACACCTAATGGTATGTCTGTGGTTGTTTTTTTTTTTGGTTTTTTTTTTTTTTTTTTTTGTTTTTTTTTTTTTTCATCTTCTCTCTTCCAGTTCTTCATGTTTATTTTGTTAATCTTCCTGGCGGAGCTTTCAGCTGCAATCCTGGCTTTTATCTTCAGAGAAAATGTAAGTATCCAACGGTGGACAAAGTCTGAACTCCAGTGGGATTGTACCCAGCTGGAGCATGGTGTTAGATGGTGGCTGATTCATTTGTAGAGCGACTGTTTGTTTCAAATACCAACAAACCTGATTCGTTACTACCCTCAGTCTGTCGAACGGCCAGCAAGCCAGTGAATGCTAACTAACCTGGCATGTGCAGGGTGGATGGTTTATGTACACAGGAGATATACACTGGGGGACTACTTAAATCCTGCAGTTTTTAGAGTCTTCCTGGTTCTTTTGCAGCCAAACCAGCTGCACATTCCATCAGAAAGAAGTTTTATAATAAAGTCACACTAAGGTTAAAAGCAACTCTTTTCTTTTTTCAGTGTAGCATGTGTTTAATATTAATAGTGAAACCTCCTGTTTGCCCAACAGAGCCATTGCTCTGCAGTGCAAAAACTCTCTTGTTCATCTTCTAATCATATCCCTTCTTGAATTTTCATGTTCTGATGCTCACCAGATTCCTCTCAATGCTGCTTGTAAGATATCTCTCCTGACCTGCCCTGAGCAAGTCTCCCCATGTCCCATTTTGAGTCTCATCAAAGGGTCCCTTGCATATTGCCCTGCTTACAAGTTTCTGGTCCTTCTCTCCACAGCTTCATATGATGTAGCCTTTCTGTATGCTGCTGCCACGCATATTATTATATGGCCATCATCCCTCCCCTATGGTAGTAGTAAGCTTTTACTACATTAGTAGTAAGCACAGTCTCATTTGTTTCTCTAACCAGCAAAGGTCTGTGCATTTTTTTCATGTTCCCATGTGTCCAAAGAAGAGCCTGACTGAACTAGGTCCATCCTACTCAAGTCAGCCCATCTTTGAAATATGACTCAGAGTGATGGCTGTGAAAAAACATTGGCCAGTAGAGGTGGTCACTAGTGACTGTTAGTATTTATTTTGTTTATTTGGCCTCTGCCAGTAGTAAGAGAACATACAGCACATTCCTTGTACTGAACGTGACAGAAATGTGGCATGAGCATAGAAGGGCCATGTATAATGATGATTTTCTTGAGCCAGGACATACTTTTAATTTTATTCATATAAAAAGATTTTGATAAGCAAAGAATCAAGACTTAGGAAGCTCACAGCAAGACAGTGTGGTGTTTGTGCAGTAGGATGGTCTTGGGGAGAGGTAGTGAGAGGATTCTTTTTCCCTTTATAAGCTGGTGGTCTTTTGTCTTTGCCTCAGATCTGAAGGCAGTGAGGAAGGGACAGCACTCTGTACACAGAGTGGGTGCCCCATTCCAGCTTAGGCTTTGAGACCATGCCCTCATGGGAACAGCTACCGCTCCATAAATAGGTTGCAGCATGGGGGGTCTGGTGTGTTGTGGTCATTACACATCTGCTGTTAGGAGTTTTTAGAGAATTCCTTTGGTTCAGCACAAGCAGCAGACCACACACGTAGAAACTGCCCTGCAGACCCAGGTACAGGCTTCACGACGGAGAGAAAACGTGGTCCCTGGTGAGCAGGGGCTGGGCGAGCAGCCGGCAGCTGACTGCTCCCACCTTCCGTCCCTGTGGGAAACTGGTAAAAGGTACAAGGAACTAGCCAGGCTCACTGCGAGTCCTGTGTACGGGGTGGCTGCAGGGCTGGCTGTGTCCTCTTCCCTCAGTCACAAGGAGCCTGCTTACGTCTTCCTTCTGGGCAAAGCATCGGTACCTTCTGCTCCCATGGAAGCTGCGGGACATGTGAGGATGAGTTACCTTGCAAGATAAGGTCACAGTGGTTATTCTAGACTTCTGTGGCATCTGGCGGTGTTTTGTGAGATAAAACTTGAAGGGGAAAAAACTTCTATCTTTCTTGAGCTTGTCTCATTTGTATCACCAGCTTCCCACTCTGTCAGAATGACTGACAGGAAGGGCTTAAATGCGAAGGAATGAAGAATGTCAGATCCCAACATAGCTGGAGATGGCTCTATGCAGAAGTTAAAGTCAGTCTGCAAATTCTTGTGGTTTGTTCTCTCCTCAGGTTTATTCTGAAAAAAACCCTCTTGTTTTGCTGTTGCTCTATATTTTGGTGGTAGCTCCTCTGGCTTGGTAACTACTTGTGGCTAATTTTGCTGTCATCTTTGGGTTAGGGTGACGCTAGATGGCTGGACAGGGTGTCCGTGGGGACAGAGGTGGTCTTTCAGTGACCCCATGTCAGGAAGGATTCTTCACAGTAGCAATTTAAGGTCAGGTTCAGATGTGCTTTTCTCTTCCCTGCGAAATGGGTTACTTTCAAGGTGTGTGGTGGTAAATGCACATTTAGGCAACCTAAACTTCTTGGAAGCTTACCGAGTGGGTTCCTGTGATGGTCATTGCACCACTCCATATGGCTGTGGCCTCACTGGGTGCATAAAATGAGACAAAAGAGAAAGATACGCTCTATCTGTTCGCTTTCCAGATAATGTTCAGTGCAGCTTTCTCTTGTGTAGTGTTTTACATCCAAACTAGCTCCCAAACACTCAACAGAGTTAAATTATTAATAGCTGAAGGAGTGAAAGAATTTAAGAGACAAAAATAAGGGAGAAAAGAGATGTTTTCTGCTGAGATTTGACATGAGAGGAAGAGTCAGTGAAGCAGAGTGTGGTGGTGGGGTTAGTGAATGTGGTATTAGTGATGGTGAGCTACTGTGATCTGCAAGTCCAGTTGCACTCCCAATGAACTGTTTAAAAGCAGTCTCTGAAGAGGAAGGCTGTTGTTAATCAGCTATGGGAGTACCAGAGTTTCTTTTCCTTTGTAAAGGAGGTTTTGGAGGGTGGAGAACCCTTTTTCATCAAGAAGACCCCCCCATAAAATAACGTCTTCCATGAACAATAGAGAGAGGCTGTGAAAGAGCGATTTGACTTATGTACAGGAATTGCTCCTTATATGCCATTCAGAGGTCTGGATGGGAAAAACCCTGGAGGGGTATTTGACTCTTTTTCTTAGTGAATTGTCTTAGCAAGCAAGAAAGTGGGATGGTAGGAACAGATGAGCCCAGTGGCAGGGCTCTGGATGGAGTCAGGATGTTTGGATTTTTAGCCCCAGTTCTGACACTTAATAGACAAGTCGCTTTGGTTCCTGATACCTCTGTTTCCTCAGACATAAGGCAAAAACTAAAGAATGTGAACTGTCCGTCCCTCAGTTGAGCAGCTGGAGGTCTCTTGGATTGAAGGCACTGTGGAGGTGAGAAGTGCAGCACTGCTGACTGTACCTACAGTACAAGCACTGTACTGTGTCAAACACATTAAGGTGCTCCAGGCAGATGCACATGGACAGGAGTGTGTCCTGTTTTCCAAGCAGGCACCATGAAGCCAGCTTCTTGCACAGCATTCAGTATTCTTGAACACAGTGCTGCATGAGAAGGCTGTGACCTTCCTGGCCAGTGCCGGCACACCTGTGTTGTGCAGAAATGCCCTCTTTTTCATAAGTCCCCTTCATCTGGCTGGAGTAATCCCAGCCAAGCTATTTTTTGAACCCGTGTGACAAAATAGTCCCCCTTCATTCGCTGGCATGTAAATGATATATGCATGCATGTGCTTCTTCTGTATTGGAGATGTTCCCCCCAGAACAGCTAGAAGAAAAACACAGCTGAATAGCTCTTTATTGTTCATGACTGTGGCTGATACGTGTGTTGTCAGAAGTGTGTGCGAAGATCTAGTTTTATTAGTAGGTCCTTTGCTCCCTTCTGAATAGTTCTTGCCATAGTACTCCGATGTGCACAGATCTCATCAGTGCCGTTACTAGCTTCAGTGAGAGGGGGGCCGTGGGCATGTGAGTAGGACTGTCTTGCTGACTTTTATCCTCCTTTGTCAGCAATTTTTTAAAAGAAGAAAGATGCTTCTGCTGATCCTTTTTTTTTTTTTTTTTTTTTTACATTTTTCTGAACTTCAGATGCTCAGGACAAGCAGTTTAAGAGCAACAAAATGGAATCAGTTATTTTCCTGGCAAACTTACCCTTCCAGGACTAGGCTTTGTTTTAGGCCAAGTCTCGTAAAAATCGCACACAAACTCTGAACAATTTCCTCTGGGGTTGCTGCTGTCAAAATAAAGGTTTCACTTTATATTTAAATGACTTTTGTTTTAGACCCTGCCAAAGGCAGTCGGCTGGGATTTTTACCAACGGTAATATCAGTTTCAAAGTCCGCGCTTCAGAAACAGACAAGCATCAAAAAAATGTGCTGCTGTCTCTGCAGGGTAGAATGCTGCATGGATAAAGTATGCAGAGAAAGGGAAGGAAAGGAGAACACCGAGGACATGTTTCAGCATCTTCTAACCTGACCTTCCCTCAGTGGGCCAAATTCCCGAAGGAAAATGCCAGTCCTCTCTGATCCTCTGGTATTTTAACATTCAAAAGCAAAAAATGAGTTAATCTCTGTCTCATAAAAGTGATTTAGGAACTTAGCAGCATATCTCATTAAAAGGTAGTGAGATTAAGCTACCTACATCATTCAAGTCTTTGTGACAAAGTTTTACCCAGTATTGATTTAGTCGTTAAATTTGGCCTTAGTTTGTATTTGTAAAAGAGAAGTCAATATTAAGTGGTATTTGGGATCTTTTAAAGAGTCACCACAGCCTTCTCTTTTTTTCCTTAAATTTTGTGATAGAATTACAAAGGAAACAAACAATTTTGTGCTTGTGCTTTTGTGCCCACACATACATCTCATCCATATGTGTGTGTATGTGCGATATTTCACGTTGCATATCAAGAACCTGAAACCAACTTGTAGCAGTATATGTTCCTGCATCTGCAGTGCTGTATGAACAACAGGGAAAAAAAAAAAGGGATCTTTTTCAGGCAGCTTAATTTCTGATCCTGCAAATACGCAACACTAGAGCAGTGCTGTATCCAGCCGAGTCCAACCCCCTTCACTGAGGCTTTGCAGTGGCAGAGAGATTTTGCCTGTGTGGATCACAAATCACAAGGTATTTTAGAGAAGGGACCACACAAGTCAAGACCTATTGGGGAACCTGAAGAGGGGATTCCTTGAAGTTTTCATCCTGAAGTGACAGAAAGGCGGAAAGATTGAATTGGAGTATGATTTAAGACGACTTTTAAGTTTGTGTATTTACTAGTCCTCCAGAGAGTGATCCTAAGTAAGTGTAATTTCAAGGTGTCTAACTTTTGAGGAGACTCTGAGCAGAAATGTTGGTTCAGTTTTTCTATTTTACTGTAAATGTAAACAGGAGTAAATGAAATTCCATTTGTTTTTATTGTTGACCTTAGGAAAAATTGTTTAAATTATCTAAACCTTGGAAATATAAAGAGGATTTTTCTTTTCATGTGCGTGGGTCAGTTTAGATAATCTAAAGCATTGTCAGGGAAATGGTCTTTTTTTCTGATTTGTAAGTGGACTTGAACATTTCATATTCATTACATGTTTTTTAACTTCCTTTTCATTCCCAGAAAGTTTGGTATTAGAGCTTGATTCTGCTTTCTCACACATGGAAGTAAATTCAGAGCAGTTCCCCTGTCATCAGTAGGAAGTTAGCTGGTTTAAAATGAAAAATGAGGGGAAAATCATGCTTTGATTGCAGACCTCATGAAGCATAGTAAGTTAAGCTACTATGTGGGTGTGGATTTGAAGATATTTCTAAAATCTGTTTTAGTCCTGTTTCAACTTACGGAACACTTTCAAATACCGCTGAATATTTAAAAAACCAACCAACCTTTAAATGTAAACATTAGCTTACAAGTATAGATATAATTAAATCCCTGATTTTTCATGAGCAACAGTTTTATCGAACAAGTACCATTCACCCTGGATACAGTTATGGTTCAGCCAGTGGCTTTCCCCATGTTTCTCCTCTGAGGTTTGCAAAAAAAAAGAACAAAACCAAAACAACCGAACAGCCCCCAGCATTCACAAGAGCGAGCTTTGGGAAGTGCTTGGGAAAGAGGTGTTGGCAGTAACCTTTGCCAACCACCTGTCTGTGCATTTCAGCTGACCAGAGAGTTTTTCACCAAGGAGCTGAAGAAGCATTACTTGAGGAACAACGACACGGACGTCTTCTCTTCCACCTGGAACTCTGTTATGATCACAGTAAGTCATGCCGTGCCAGTCCCATGCTGCCCGTGGTCAGCGGCCATCAACACGGTGCTCAGCCTGCACCTTCAGCTCGCCTGGGGTCAGCCTGCTTCAACCATCCTGTCGCATCAAGCATAGCACCAGGGTTTGTGGCAGTGGTGGGAGGGAGGTGAGAATTCGGCTGGCAGACGGTCTTTCTCAAGGCAAGCTGCCATCGGTCCTGAGAGAGACGCTCCTGGTGACTGCGTCTGCCTTTGTGGTTTGCCAGAGCCTGAGGCATTTGACCTGGCTGGGTACCCCCAGCTTTCAAACAGTGGGCACAGAAAGCCGTGGAGCTGTCTGCTGCTGAGTATCGCTGCATTTACCCTGGCCCGTTCCCCTTGCAGACTACTTCAAAACTGTTCCCAGCCAGCAGCAGCTAAAACTGGTGCTAACTAATGGCTTTTTGTTTGCTCTTGTGAAATGAGTTGGTAAGTGGCAGGTTAGGCAGGAGTGTGCCTAATGGTATATTTTCAGTATAGAAATATTAGCCATTAAAATTGACTTTGTTATTACAGTCCTAATCAGGCAGGTTACAGATCGATTGTGTCATTGGAATTGGAGTTGTTCTTAACTACTACAAGAAGTTCTCAGTGCATGTGTGTGTGTGTACACATGTGAACTTAGTGCTTAGTACAGCCCATGGTGTATCTCTTCAGGAGTGAGGAGTAGGATGTCAGGCTCTGCAGATGAAAAGTCAATTTTAATCTTAAAAGAAAAAGATGATTGCTGCCCTTCATGCTGATTCAGGACTTTAATAAAGACATTTCCTTTTGCTGACTGAAAGGAGACAGAGTATGACTTGAATCCTTAAAAAGGACCTGACTTGAATCCTAAAAAGGGACCTTACTTGAATCACCTAGCAGTGCCTTTGAGCAGCAACAATCCCGGCCATTAGCTATGGGGAGAACGGGCGTTTGGGAGCCTGGATTGTACTGCTGGCTCTGTTACAGACTTGCTGGGTGATCTCAAGCAAGTCATTCTGGATGTGCTCCAAAGCCCTGTGTAGTTCATGGCAATATTCCCAGTGGTACCTTAGAGTCTACAGTGTGACATGGGAACAGTGGGACTTTATAAAAAGGCTTTAATGAAACAGAAGCTCCAAGGTACAAGCACAACCCACTTCTTTGGAAACAACAGTTGTTTTGTCTCTGCTTTGACTAAAGCTTTGATCCCTACAAGAATAGGTCTTTGGTAGATTTCTCGTATCTGCTTTCAGGGCAAGGTGGCAACTCTGTCTTCCTTTCTTCTCTGTGCCTCTCCCTAGTTTGCCTGCTGTGGAGTGAATGGACCAGAAGATTTTGAAACTATTCCTCATCTTCCATACTCCTCTTTGGAAAAGGTGACACCGGAGGCTTGTTGCCAGCGAGAGCTCCAGAGCCGGGAAGGGATGTTTGTCAACAAGGAAGCCTGCCTCACAGGTGTCGAGAGGTTTCAGAACCGACAGGTAAGGGAAGCCGAACACCAGGAAAAGGAGTTTCACAGTGGGCAGAGAGGTGGCTGGGGTGGTCATGGGTAGCTAGTGAAGCTGGCAGGTCATGCCATTCTGACTGTAGCTCACATCCTAATTACACTTCTGCTGACAGCTGTTTGAAGTCATGGCGTATGTCTGATTTTGAAAATCCTCTTTCATTGTCTGCGCTGCTAAGTCCACGTTGTGCTGTATCAGCAGAAATACGACGGTTTTCCCAAGGGATTGAGAGGTGGGGTGGAAATTTACATCAAGTTTTATTGTGTTTCTGAAGGTTAGTACTATCTCTGAGAAGTTAATTAGCAAGCCAGCACAGGTCAGCGAGGATGGGATGGATCTGGCTCTTACTGGCTGTGGTAGTGGTTTCAGTTTAGTTCACAAAGACTCTTCATCAGCAACATATGCAACCAGGAGACTGAGGGTTAAACAGCCGCAGGAAACCATGTCCATTTTCCAAGGAAGAGAAGTGTGGAAAGCTGCATTTCTCTGCTCTTTTACTATTTACAGTAGAAAAAGGGTATTTCTTTTGCCAGGCCTCTCGACTTGGCAATTTTTCCCCATACTATACTGGAGCAAGACAGTTCAGCATAATGTCATTGACACTGATACTACAGTCATATTTCCTTACATTGTCACCAAGATGTGAAGTTTAAGAAACTTTCTAGCAAAGTTCCTGACTCTGTTCGCCTCAGCATTAATAAGCCAGCTGAGCTCTGTACTAACCGTATACGTACAAGCCTCCTTTTCTCTCCAGACTAAGCAGTGGTCCTCTTTTCAGCACTTGATAGCAGATTGTGAAAGAGAGTAAAGGAGCTTGGAAGCAGCGTGTGAGCTGTTCCTTGCCCAGCACCTGGACATGGTTGGCAAAGGCACTCTGGGTGAGAGATCATAGCAGACAGCACTGTACTGCTTCTGCCAGGTCTGATTGCTGTGAGTAGATGGGAAAGAGAGAGAGGAGAGAGATGAAAAACAGCAGGGAGGGAAAGAGAAATGGATTTTGAGAAAGAGGGTTAAAGCAGATAACAGATTTAGCTTTCCCTAAGTGGTGAAGCTGAGGCCTGCCACTTCTATGGAAAGGGAAGGTTTCCTGTGAGCCCTTGTCATGGCAGAGTGTTGGTGGAAGAAGGAGTGTGCACAACGAATGTCATCAAGCACACAGTGAGGCACTTCTGTAAAATGGGAGAGACACTCCCAAGCAACTGATGGCTGAATGCAGGCATATTCCTGGAGCAAAGTCAGGCTCTTGGGACACCGTGCTGGTAGGACAGTGCTGGCTGCCCTTGTGCTCATCCCCGTTTGTAGCCAGCTGAGCGGGGCATGCTGGAAGTTGGGTTAAGGTTGGAGTTCTGGCAAGCACCCAAACATTTTGTTGCTGTGCTGGATGCTTTTCCCTGAAAATTGGGCTGAAATGTGGCCGGAACAGGGCTGCTGCTGAGCGGTCTTATGTTGACAAGAGTGTGGTTTTAACAGCTTGGTTACTGCCCCAAAAGTCTGCACTCCCTGGGACTGCCTCATGAGTGGGTCCCCTCTGTGCTCTCCCTCGCTCTCCTCTGGTTGTGTCTCACTCGCAGTGAGCAGGGTCTGTCATGGACACCAGTACGTAACTGTTGTGCTGTCTTTGCAGTTCAGACATTTTCTTTTTGGGTGGAAGTAAAAAATCAGGTGATTGAAACATCCCAGCAGCATGGATGGGATTAAACGTGTATGTGTGAAGTATATGCTCAGTGGGGAGGAGAGCTACTTTGGACAAACTCCAATCTACGTTTCTCTTTACGTGTGACCTATTTGTGGAAATTTGCTGGTGAGTTGGAATTTTAGGCTGGGAGAACTGAGGCCAGGATAAGCTGGTGATTTCCAGAAACATCCTGAAACCTTTGCGGAAGATCTACCTGCTGTTTATTGTATGAGCAATAATAAATTACATTAAAGATAATGGTGGCTATGCTGCATAAGTGGAAGGATTGCTGTAGTGCATGGCCCTGAGTTCTTAATGAAATTAATTCTCCTATAGCCAGAAGGTCAGCAGGTGTTCATCCATGCTCCTTTGGGTGAAGGCACAGAGAAAAGGTCCTGGGGTGTGAAAGAGCTGCTGGCTATGAGAGAGGATTCAAGAGTCTCCTGCCTTGGCTTTAAATAAATCGTCCTTATCCCTAGCCAGCCTGGTCTGTCTGTCATCTGCCCTGAGGGTCCTTTCCTCTGTGCTTAGTCTCTGTCCTTTGCAGAGGGAGTGCCTCTCCCGTGCTGCTCCTCTCTGCCCTGCAGGAAGACACAGTTCCTCGTGGTCAGTGAGGGGTTGTGGGTGTGAACGACTCCCATGCCACTACAGCAAAACCTTCCCCTCCCTGGCGCTGTCCTGTGGGTCTCTGCCTCCTGTGCTGTGGGGCTGGGTGAGGGGGTGAGAGGGAGCCGTGCTTGTGGTGCCTGGATCTGAGAGCACCTCTTGTACTAATGAGGGCTGTGCTGTGAGAACAGTGCAATGTGCTGCTCAGGTGTGTCTCACCACGTTTTGTCCTTCCTAGGGCTGCTACACTGTGATCCTGAACTCCTTTGAGACCTATGTGTACCTTGCAGGAGCCCTTGCCATTGGAGTGTTGGCCATTGAGGTACTTACTGTTGTGCGACTAGAAGAAAAACAAGTGTCGGTAGATGTCCAGCAGCGAGGCAAACAGGCAGGTGCTCCCCCTTGCCAGGGGAAGCTGCTCCTGCAAAGTGCAAGCAGGTTATCAACTTGTGGTTTTAATTGCCTAGAAAGAGTCGGGTGCTTGGTCCTTTGCCACAAAAGGCAGGGAAATAACCGGTGCTGCACACCTGCAGTGCTGCAAGCCTGCAGTGCCGCCTCGTGTTGGGCCCGCTGCAGAGCTCGCACCCTGCCACGCTGGCCACAGGGGCTTCGGGGACCCACTGCCTGCCCCAGGGCTCCACACAGTCGCTGCCCTTAGTGCAGCAGCACCCCAGCAAGCTGACTAATCTGCCACTTGGTTAACGTGTTCAAACTGTGCCTTTGCTTTAAAAACTTATGTTTAGAGCCTGAAATTGTATTGGCTCCAGAGCATCTCCGTTATCCAGCATTAGCGTCTGGCTCTTTGGTGATGTTTCTGAGGAACGGGCTTCCACCAGACACAGCATTAGCCCAGAAGTGGTGTCCCTGCAGCATTGCTGGGGCAAGGCCGGGTGCTTTCCCCAGTGCCCTGTCCCGTGCAGAGGAGAAGGAGCTGGGCAGTGCCCCAGCAGCCCCCATGAAGGCCCCGCTGTGCCTGCTCTGGGCAGTGGGAATGGTGTGCAGAGCAGGGACCACGGAGCCTGCTCCCCTGCAACACCAAGGGCAGTTTGGGAATGAAGCCAGGCTGCTGCTGTAGCCACAAACAATTCGGGGGACAAGGGAAGGAAGGGAGGGATCACCTTCAGGAACAAAAAAAAAAGTTTTGCCACAGCCTCCCCTGGGTGGTGGGAAGGGTCCCCCTCGCTGCGCCACTGACTGCTGGGCAGGCGGGAGTGGTCCTAGGGCCAGGGAGGGCTTTGCTGATCTTCTAGAAGATGCAGCTGACTCTCGTGGTTCTCTGTTTTGTTTTTGCCCTCTTCTTTCCCCCCCTTCCCAGCTGTTTGCCATGATCTTTGCCATGTGTCTCTTTCGAGGGATCCAGTAAGAGGTGGCCCGTGAACCACCACGTTCCCCACGTGCTCAGAAGAAAGAAGGAAAATCAGAAGAAACAAAACCTGAAAACACCCAAAAAACTTTATTTTTTTTAACAAAATGGGGTAGGGGGAAAAAAAGAAAAAAAAGAGGGTTGTAATATATGAATGACCAAAAGGATTGTACTTCAGGGGCTGGAACTTTGAGGTGATGTGCACTACACTGTACACCGGACCCTTGCCCAGAGCCACCCGCAGCAGCCGTGGAGCAGGAGCCCAGCGCAGCTGATTGCACTAGAGACTGACGGAGCCGGCGGGGGGAGCAGGAGGATGAGCACATCTGCCTCTCCTGCAAGGCCGTGCCTACCGTTCGTAACTTTATGACAGCAAAGGACTGAAGAACAGCCACACAGGGGTTGGATAAGGCAACAGGTTGGCCAAAGTCTGTGACTGTCCAGGTGGGTTTGAAACAAGCAGTGGTGGCTCATCTCAGAAGTAGGTAGTCATTGTTCGCGCGATTCTGGCTTTAACACCCAGCCACAGAATGAAAACACACGTTCTTCAGTGGAAGCTTTGCCCGTCACCTGAAACTTGTCAGAGAAGTCAGGCACTTCAGTGAGGCTGGCTTTTCTCTGGAGCCCCAAGCAGGGGCAGCATGGTCTCACTTAGCAATGGGACTCAGCTAAGGCTGGCTGATGGTCAAGAGTTTGGTGCCTGCCTTTCTGTTTTTACTAAGATTTACTGTTCCTTGTTGTGAAAAAGAAAGAGGGCAAATGGTTCCTTGCTGTGTTCCCATCTCCTGGGAAAAATAACGGCTCTGGTCAAGAATCATTGATACTGCCGCCTTCCTGAGAAGGGGAGGAAATAGTGTTTAAATCTTGTCGGCCTTTGCCTCTCCCTTCATACTTGCAAAAAACGATTTGTGGTGCTCTGTTAGCATAAATATTTGCAGTGGATTCCTACATGCTTTCCAGCCCTAAGGGGAGTTCCAGGCATGGTGCTGGATGGAGGAGGCTGAGGTTTGTCAGCCGCTCCCATGCTGTTTGCCTGAAACAGTCTTGTGGTATCATTTCTGCTCAGAGATTTTCCCCTGAGATCCTCACATGGGCTCATGACGAAAGCATCAAGTCAGAATTGTTTTAGTCTGCCTGCTAGTTGAGAGTGTTTCCTCCATTGAGTTAGTTTGACATTTAACTAACGTATCATCTACTTAATCATTTGGAAGTGAACTTGAGAAAGATGTCTGGGACTGGACCTTGGTCAGAGATTAAGGTGGAACTGCTGAGGCCCCAGGCAGGCAGCCAGCGTGCAGCCAAACCGCTCCAGCCACTGCTCCAGTGGTTGTGGTTATCGACCCAGACAGGTCACTGGTTTCTCTCCTCTGGAAGCCTAAATCCCTGTTGCCTTAATTGTTCATCTGGTCACTCCCTGACCCCAAACTCATTGTGCTTGAGGGAGGACAGAAGGGGCTGTGGTTTCTTGTTTAGCTTACGTCTTTTTACAGATTTTATAGGCTCAGATTATGGAACACTTTTATATAGGCTTAAACCAGCCCCTTTAAAGGCTGTAACCACTGGCAAGGAAGGAGAGGGGGCAGAAGGCAGCAGCGAGGAGCCAAGCAGTAACCTTGTGCCCAGGTCTGGCAGCAGCAGGTGCGCCTTGCCTGGCTTACACCACTGGGGCTGTGTCCCTTCAGCTCTCCCAGTGGCACTGCACAGGCTACAGGGAAGGAAGGAAAGCAGCAGAAAGACTGGTCCATAATAGACAATGATGCTGGCTAAATGTCCAGATTGGGGAATCAGGATATTAAGGAACAGGAAGGAGGCATTAGAGCTTTTCCAAGCTTCATTCGAGAACAACAGTTTGCTCATCAGCAGGAGAGGGCCCAGGCAGGTAGAGCTGCAGCCCCCCCATGCCGCAGTCAGCATATTCCAGCAACGGAATAAGAGGCCAGGGCTGCTGAGCGGCCTCAGATGTTGCATTAAACCTCGTGGAAAGCTTTTCTAAACTATTTCCCTCTGGATCTGCTTTTAATGAGGCATTTTAGCATTAAATTCTGGTCTGTTGTTTAATGAAGGAAAACAGTTTTGCTAGCCAAAAACCACCAGTATTTGTACCCAACAGCAGGTGCTGCACTTAAGAGAGGAAAAATTTGTTGCATCTACTAGTCTTGCAGGGAACAGGCCGAGCAGAAGGCGAGCTTATCTGTTCCGCTTCTGCCTCAGGAGCTGGTGTCAGTGACTGTTCTGGGAGGCCAATTCCCAGGGGAGGAACAAAACCATGAGCAGAGATGGTAATTTGGCTGGAGGTGAGCAAGAGAAGCAGAACTGCCTCCCCAGCCTCCAATTTTTTCCTTTCCCCTCAGTTTATTATGCAAAGGCCTGGCTGTCTCAGGTCAGAGCCTGGAAGGCAAATACACCGATTTGTGCGTGGTGGGTGGCTGAAAGAAAAAAAAAAAAAAAGCCTTAAAGCCTTTTTCTGCATGGGGGAAAAACTGTCAGCATTGGGGGAACCAGAACAAAGCAGCCAGAGCGCTAAGTGATAAATATACACGCCTGAAGTAGGATCTCTGCAGGCTTATTTCTCTTTGGCTTTCCTAATTCTGTACTCATTGCTTTGTCTGTTTTTAGCTTTCTTGCTTTCCCTCTTCCCTAATGGTTGTCCCTGTATCTTCAAAAAGATCTCTTATTCGTCTGTTCTTCTGGCCTTTGCACAGTTGTTTCTCCTCTCTTACTTTGTCTGATCCCCCATTGCTCTTTTCTGGATGAAGACTTCACATCCCTCTGCAGCTGGCCGGTGTGCCACTGGGAACACAGCTTGAAACCCCAGCAACGGCCCAGCAGCACATTTTAAACAAGAACTGGAGATAGCTGTAAAGATACGTGGAAGTCTGAGAGGACCTGTGGAAGTTGGTAACAGGCAAAAAGAATTTCCCTCGGGGGAATTTAATGAGCAAGCAAGGCCAGAAAGCAGACTCCTGGTGTATGGCAAAGCATGTAAATTTGTTGGTTTTGTCCCTTGGTTATGTGGCTGCCCCCTCTGTTGTACAATAGTTTTCAGAACAGTAGGCAGGAGAAGCAACTGTATTTTTATATTTGTTTTTAACAGCTCTGGTGAATATTTTGGGGTCAGGGGCTCAAGCTAGATTCACTGCTTGCTGGAGAGCTCTGGGCAGGCTGGGGACCAGAGGGAGCTGCCATGCTGCTGCCTCCTTCACTGTAGCACTGTGACCACAGCCCAAGAACCTTGGATGTAAGTAGTAGAGAGCAGCCTCTGCCTGCGAGCCCACAGCCCCTCTTGGCGCCCCTGCCTCCCGGCTGTTATTTAATGCTCAAATGACTGTCACGAATGCCTGGGAAAAGGGCTGCGTGTGAAATAATGTTTGAAATCTATTTTAAAAAACTGTAAATGTTCTTTTTATTAGATAGTGGAGCTAATTTATCCTGTATTCCCTACTGTAATGCTTTTTTATATTGAAAGGAATTCTTTTTTTTGGTAATATAAACCAGAACACAAGCCTGAAGCACTCTCTGCACGGTTTTTGTGTGCGTTTCTTAAAAAAATAAAAAATAAAAGAAAGATATCGTGACAGTGAAGTGAAACCGCTTTAATTTTCACTTGGTGTTATGTACAGTCACTTTCTTACCAGAGGAGAAAGAATAAACTCAGGTACAGCAGCTAAAATGAGGTATAAACTGAAGTGTCCCACTCTCTCCTGCCCCCCCACCCCAAGTAAAAACCCTTGACCAGAAAGGAGAGGCCAGCTTAGGACAGACAGAGCCTCTCCTTTGTCACCAGCTCCAGTTTGTCAGCTCTTGGTTAGACATAAATAAGGCAATGTAGGGAGTTATGTGAATGATGAGCTTTCTTCACCCTCAAAAGCGAGGGCTCTGTGAATGCAAGGGTTTGGGTCCATCTCTGGCAGAGAAAGGGGTCAGCCTTAGTCCTGGCCTCTGCCTGCTCGGAGGACAAACCTCTGGGGAACATGACTCCCAACCCTGCACAATATTATACAAATGCAGGTAATTCATTGCAGTCTCCCTTGGGAGATGATGTCAGTCCAAGGCCTTTCTCACAATTTAACAGATAAGGAAACTGAGGCCTGTGGAGATGGAGTTTTTTCTCAGCAGATCAGTAGCAGAGCCTGAAGTGATGCCTCAGGCTTTTGATCCCAAATTATATGCTCAACTGCCACCTGCATCTGTGATGCCAGCGCTTCTGTCCTTAGCGAAGCAGTTCTGTACAAACGTTTCAGCATTTTCCTCCCTTTCCCCCCATTCACAACAGAGCGAAAACAACCAGCCACAGTTGGTTTCTGGCAGCACTGCAGATGCTCTGCCTGGGCTCCATCCTCAAGCTGCCCTGAGAAACTCCCTCCTAGACCTCACCTCCTCCAAACTCACCTCCTCAAGTGGGCCTGGCCATGTTTCTCCCGCAGCACCTTGCTGATGAGAAGGGACCATGCCAGGGACCACAGCCTTTTTGTAGCCATTGCCAGGCAGGGGCATCCATTTGCCCCTTCTCATTTAGTTATAGAAGAGGTAGAGCCCCAGTCCACTTCCACACTTTCTACATGGTCCATTTATAGCAAGATGGAGCAAGAAGCATAAAAATAAAACAGCTTCATCTGTCCCCTTTCAGGACTAGGTACCAAGTAGCATGAAATCTCTTACATGGCCACTCCCTCAGGCTTTGCTCTATGTTGGAGCAGAAGACATTGACTGGCAAAACTAGAATTAGCTCACTGTTCTAAGTTTTGCAGAGGCAGCTGCTAAGCAGGGGACCAGAGGAATCTGACCTCACCTGATTTAAAGCTCCTTTGGAAAGCTGTAACTGCTTCCCCCACCCTCCCACCTAATTTAACCATCAAGAAGTCTTCGGAGAACTGCTCTGACATAGTGCAGTAACTCATTTCTCTCACCTGCTGGATGACATTTTAAGGTATGCTAATCAAGCAGCCGTCTACAGACCCAGAGTCATAACGAAGTTCCTAGGACCTGTGGCCAACACAGATAGGAGGACAGCATTAAGAAAACCCTCCATTTCCTTCTTCTGCAAGATTGCTTTTGCTGTGGTCAGTTTTACTTGTCTTTCCTAGAAACACAATTTCCCACCCCCCCAAAACCAACGGTCAGTCTGTGTATACATTCATGTGACCCCCAAAACACAAAGAATCAAGCTTCACGTACCTATACCAACAACTACAGCCGAAGTGCTGTACTGAAGCCATTGCAGCTGCCCATGCAGGTGGTGTGCAGGGTGAGAGCAACAGCCGCAGCGTACCACGCTCCAGCTCCCACGCGCAGCACCGCTCGGTCTAGTTCGTGATATTCTCCAGGCGGCACTTGATCATTTCCGGCCTCACAGGGAAACTGTTTCCCTCTTAGAGCCCAACTCTTCCACCTGAACAGGAAGGCTCCCTTAAATGCAAGTTTTAGTTGCTTAGTATCATATTTTGGACATGTTTAAAGCAGCTTGGCAGGCATGTGTTGTTGGGAGGCTCCAGAATTTAGCCTGCTGTTGGATGTTGCCTCTCCATTTGATTTACTTAGGAAAAGAAAAATATTACAGTTGTGATGTTTCCTGGTTCAACTATTTCCAATATTCTTACCTGACAGACATTTTGCATGGCCAGTAGGTACAATGCACACAGTGTCCCAAGTTTATGCAGCTGCTTCTAAATGCCAAAAGCACTAACACAACACACAATAACTACCCACTACCTTCTTCTAACTCTACTAAGATATTAAACAGCAATAGCCATAGATCCCAGTCTCACCAGTGGCTTGAGGGCTGTTGTTCACACAAGCACTTCTGTTTGTGTAGGCATCTTTCTACTGGGATTTTTGGGACGTCAGCTCTATTCCAGGGCACACTTTGATCCAGTCAACAGTAGCACATGAGTAAGAAGTCCGTATCCTGTACACAGATCTTCTGGCTTTAGTCCCATGGAGAACAAAAAAGGCCGCCTCCAGCTGTGGACAGGGATAATCCGCAAGGAAACTGCTAGGAAGTAGGGCAGCCAAAGCTGTTAAGCCCAGGAGGTGTTGGAGAAAGTGGCCAGTGAGTACTAAAGCACATTTAGTCCTTCCTTGTCTGGGCGAGAGAAGGCAATGATGCCTTCATACACGCCGCTTGTTGCTGTTCTTCATCCCAGTTAAGTATCTTAATGCTACAAACTTTGGTCCTCTCCCCTCAAAGTCAGAAGAGCTGTGATACCTGCACATTAGCAGAGCTGGAACACCATCTCCTACAGCTGGGGTTCATCTCTAGAGGCTGCTCACTGACCCAAGCAGCTGTGTTGATGCTTGCTCTGCCCTCACGAGCACTAACCACAGCACTACTCCAGCCCCTGCTTAACTAAAGCATCAGATGCTACCTCACACCTACCACTGCTGCTACCATCAGTAAAGCTGCAACTGTAGGAAGTGCTCTGGTGTGAAGGGACAGGACCCCAGCCTAGAAACTTCACGAAACATCCCAAGCAAGGGGATATCTTTGTACTCAACAGGCTTTTTCCAATAGCTTCCTTTGCTTCTCACATATTGTAGTTCAAGCTGCTCCACTGTTCTGTTGCTGTCCCTGCGAAGGGAACAAGCAAGAAGCCTCCCTCTTCTTTTGCTGTATCTCTGGCCAAGCTCTGCACAGCACCCAGTGTAAAACTACAAGGCAGGGTGGCACCTCTGGCAGCAAGGAAAGAAGAGCTGTTTGCAAAGCGCTGAACTAGGAACTAGCCTCGTCCAGCTCCCAGCTACCTGGACAGTCAGTACTTGCTAAAAGGGGAACGAGCTGCACACGAGGGCACACTCCACCAGGCAGGTGCAAGGCTTACCAAGGGGAGTAGCCAAGTCCTTCGCCCTGTCTCCTCAGGGATTTGGTTTCAATGTGCTGGTCTTATTTTGTGCTTTGTTCCAGTGGGTTCCAGAGCCTGTGATCCCATCGGCCAGTTCCCCCTGGGAAACTGGCTCTTTTCCCTGAGCCTGCCAGGCCTGCACACCTCCCTGAGCCTTCCTCCCGCTGCTCCTTGCCTCCTGCAGAGGGGCTGGGGGGTCCTGCCCGACACTGCTCTCCCCCCATTTCACCTGGCAATGCCACCAGCACCGAGTTACACACTGATTCATGCCGGTAAGTGGAAAAGAAGGAAACCACTTTAGAACCAAAAGGGACTAACAAAAAAACCAAAACAAACAAACAAACAAAAAGTTATAATTATAATGCAAAATTACCGACACAAACCCCTCCCTCCCACCCTTCCCATGACAAAAAGCCCAGGAATTAGACTTTCTTGGGACGGCGTCCAACTTGGTAATAATAATAAATGCTGATGAGGATGAAGAGGGCTCGGCTGACCAGGAGGAGCATGGCACCTGTGGCTATCCGGCTACTCTCAACCAGGGAGGCAGTGGTAACTAGAGAAGGAGGAAGACAAGGCAGAGGTTGGTGATGAAAAAACAAATGGAGACAAGTAGCACAAAGCTGTTTTCTACTGCCCTCTAATGCAGCTTCCTAGTGAGACCTGCCGAGACTTGCGGATGCAGAAGCTTTTGCCACAGGCTCACAGGCACAGTGAACCCATGGCACGGGCTCTTCACTAGCTTGATTTCACAGCCTTGAAGTTAGCCACAGACCCACGGTCCCCAGAGCGCTCACTTACAGAAACCCTGCTTTAAAGGCAGCCCTATGTTCAGGCAGCCACAGCCCAAAATGGCCACTCGCACAGATGTGAGTTTCCATCGTGCTCAGGTGTTAATTGTGGAAGCTGCATGTTCCAGAGTTTGTTTTGCGGTTTGACCGCTTCAGTGCTGATTGATTGATAAACATTTTTCAACTTTAGAAGCATCTACAAAATACGCACAGTCCACACATGCTACCTCTTTTCCAAGCACCTCTCTTTTTTGGCTACTGACACATAGTCCATATCTAAACCAGCTACCTTATAATACAGTTAGTGAGCTACCAATGTAGACATGCAAAAACCCCTCCATTGTTAAATATAGACAAGCTCCCTAGAAACAAGCTGAACTGTTATTCTCTGTTTTGGTAAGACCAAACATCCCCCTTTTTAGCGTAGGTTTCTACAGTCTTGTCTTGTTAGCTCCAGCACCTAGGCAGCCCACTCCAGGAGATGACCTGTGCTGGCTATGAAGGCCAGAATGTTTTTAGGGAGAAAAATAAATGAACTGTCAGAGGAAGATGTCTCCCCTGCACCTGGGCACCCTTTGGTGAGCAGCCCAAGGCAAAGGCTACTCCATGAGGAAGGAAAAGGGAGAGCAGCTGGCAGGGAAGATGCTCCCAGGGCCAGGTTATCTTTGCCAGTCCCGCAGGGCAAAGGAGCTGTCTCCAGCACAAGCCAGGCACAGCACAGGGACAGCTGGGGATTGGGTACCCCTGTGGCTGTGCCAGCCAGGTGGCAGAGGCAGCATCTCCCCATCAGCTGAGTCCACCGTGACTCCCAGGGCCTCACCGCACAACCCAGAGTTTCTTCCATCAGACCCAAAGGCACTGTTCCAACGCCAGTTGTTCTGCCCACCTCCACTTCTCCTTCCTCCCTGCCTGGTGGGGGTACGCAGCATGCACCCCCATCCTTTGCGTCCTCCTCCTTACTGGGTGGCTGCAGCTACTCACCCAGGAACTGCACGGCGAAGTAGCACGCCTCCGTCAGTAGGGTCCAGCGGATAATGACTTTTTCAGCCGTGTAGAGGGCGTTCCACATGATGAGCGAGATACCTGCAGAGGGACAGCAGAGCGCAGCTGCCCGAGGGCCAGGGGGGATCACTGGGAAGGGGCAGCCCACCCACCTGCTCCCGCACGAACCGTTTTGGCCTCCCACGGGAGGACGGAGGGAAGCAGTTCTGCGGGCAGCTGCGCTCTCCCGGCCGCTGCGGCCGCTGCATTTCCAGCCATCCCCGCGAGGTGCTGCTGCAGGCTGCGGGAAGGAGCCGGCCGCCAGCCCGCCTGGGCCAGGGCATCCCACCCAACCGCCTGCCCTCAGCCCCAGCCGCCCCCCAAAAAAAACATGCCTTGCCAAGCACCTGCCTACCCTTTGGTGCTGGGCACCACCCTTTGCAGCGTGCCAGCCCCGAAGGCTATCTGGCTGGGCACCCAGAAGGTGGCAGTCCCTGCAGCCTGGGAGCACTAGCGGCCACAGTGCGGGGTGCAGAGCTACGCAAATCCCGTGTGTTTAATTCTTCCACTCATTGTCTTCTCCAGACCGTTTCTCTGGGCTCCCCTCACTTTCTTGTCCTTTGCCCCCCACCTCTTGGGCCCCTCGCGTGGGGCCCTCCCCGGATGCCGTTGCCTGCCCCTTCTCTCCTCCCACTCACACAAGGAGGGTCTGGCCCCAGCTGCAGCTCAGCACCCCATCTTCCAGCCCATCTGCGATTCCCCTTTGCTGGGGCACTTGGGGGTACTCCCCCAGGTATTTAGAGTGTGCACAGCCCTTTTTACCCTGCCTGTAGCGAGCCTGAGCCCCTACTAGGAAAAAGCAGCAGTGGCCGAGCTTCTCAAAATACCCCTAAACAAACCATTTCTTTGCTAAGAGCAGATCTTCTGCTCTCCGGCTGCAGTTGTCCTGTTGGGCACAGACTTTGACACGTCCTCCCATTTTGGCCTCTCGCCCCTTACTCTATGGGGCAGCAGCATACCCCACGTACAGTGGTACAGCACTCACTGAGGAGAGCTCCTCCATAGAGCCGGATGGGAGTCTTGCTGCTCACCGATTCCTCGTCAAAGACGGTATCATAGAGCTGGTCAGGGAAAGCAAGAGCCTGGTAAAGGCAAGAGAGAGACTTAGCAGCCTGCACTGGCCAGGCCCATCAAAATGTGTCCTCTCAGGCAGCAGTGATCCAACATCAAGCCTTTATGGGATCAGCCGCTGGCCAGGAAATTGGAAAGTAAGGAGGCACAAGAAATATCAGCATGTCAGCTACTGGCTTCACGGCCGGTTTCTATGGCCAAGGCTGCCATGCCGCGTGTGGTTTATGACCCTGCTAATGAAAACAGACTCTGGTGATAGGAGCAAACTGCCAAGGACACTGCTAGCAAATCCCATTACTGAGACATGGTGAGGGCAAAGGCCTTGAAAGAGAAAGCAGCGGCAGCTGCTGGAGGCAGAGGAAGGGGATAAATGCCGGGGGCCAAGGAGCCACACTGGGGCACCCCTTTGGCAGCCAGAGCTGGCGGTGCCCAGGACCAGTCCCTCACTTACCATGATGGCGACCCCGGAAAACATGATGGCGGAAACCAGCTGCCAGACCCTGTGTGGGAAGGAAGACAGAGGACCCGGCGTGAGCACGGAGGCGATCCCATTGCTTATGCTTCACAAAGCATTCCTGGCTGCCTGCTTGGTCATCAGCCTTCATCCTCCCCCCTCGCACAACCGAGGTAGCCACAAGCCTCCCATGGGAGGACTCGGCTCCCCATGCCCCACTACCTCCAGCCTCAGTGTGCAGACTGGCCTTGCTGAGGAGACAGAATTGAAATCCCCCTGACGCAAGCAGAGGAGGGAAGCGACCCTGCCAAGAGGATGGTGCAGAGTGGGATCCCCACAAGACGCACCACTCCGGCACACGAGACCAGGAGCTCTTCCAGCCCCATGCAGTCCCTGTGGTTCTCAGCACCTGCTGTGAGACAAAAGCTTGAGGGCCTCAGACTGATTTATGGGGTAAGAAAGCAGAGCTGGTCTGGTCCCATGGCCCCCGAGAAGCACCTGCAGGGACCAGTGATACTGGTGCAGCAGCAGAGCTGGTGTCAGCGGCCAGAGCTGTTAGGGATGCTGTGCCCAAGGGCCCTCAGATGACCCAGCTCCAAGGTGGCCCAGTATCTTACCTGAGTCCCAGTGGTTCCCGGACAGCAAACTTAATTTCATTTCCCAGTACTTGGCTAATCTGAAATTCAAATAAAAGACATAAGGTGACCGAGCAGTCCCTTCCCCAGCCTTTAGGCAGTATTCGCCAACCCAAAAATGCATACCTAACCCCATGTGAGAGTTTAAGAGGGCTAGAAGGAGGATGAGGACAAGGGATTCATCTGTGACCTCTTAGTCCCAACGCCTGCCGAAGGCTGCCTTGATTTCCATCAGGAGCTGCAGCCTCTACTGCTCCCTTACTGGCATCAGCTACATGCAGCGTGGGGCTGGGGCAGGGTCAACATTAACTTGTCTCCTCTTACCTACATAAGTAGGGAACTGTCTCCTCCCACACACCACCTGCGTGTCACACCCCGATGGAGCACAGGCTCCAGCAGAGCCCTTGGGGTGTCACAGCGTCCGTCCCACTCTTGCATTCGCACTGCTCAGAGTGATGCCCAGCCGTGACTTCCCCAAACCACGCGGATGGGAAGACTACACAGACCAGCAACAGGGAAAGGTACTTGGGGGACCTTTTGGTTGCAGAGAGCTCTGAGAGAGCTCTGCGTGGCTTCCCACATGCAGGCAGGAGCTGGGCAATGCCCTGCTGGCAAGTTCTCCAGAGAGCATCCAGGACAGGGCTCCTGCAGGGCTCACCCTTGTCCTCCAGTTCTGGTATTTCACTGAAACAGGTTGGTTGTTTGCAATTCAGGCCTCTTCCAAGAGGCACTGCAGCACTGCTGCTTAAATCGCTGCTCCAGTGTCCAGGCCACCGGCTGGTGGGCATTGGTAGTGCCACGGTCCTACGGCACCAGCTCTGAGCTAGCTCACGGGTGTCTCAGCAATACAATTTCAGGAATGGATTAAAGCAGCTTGAGGGCAGAGCTCACCCCGTTACCACAAAAAGCTGTTTCGGGCAGCTCCCGTGCACCCAGCAGGCTGTGTGCCTCGTCGCTGCTCAAAGACAGCATTGCTCATGCCACCACAGCCTTCACCCCTCATTTTACAGAAGCCCTGTTACAGAATGGAGCTGGGAGCCCTGTTTCTACAAAAGAGGGTGCGGAAGTTAGGTGCTGAGAAAAAAACACACCACCTCGGTTTGCCCAGGCAGAAGGTCTCTTTTCTGTCATTACTGCATCTGGGCTTCCCTCTCCCCTGCCTCTCACCTTTGAGCGATGGACCTCGCCGTCATCGTCCTCCCCGCCGACCCCCAGGATCTTGCGTGTCTTCAGCCTGCTCACCAGGTCGGTCTGGCTGTGCTTCTTCATCAGTGGCGGGGGCTGCTTCGCTGCCATGGTGGTGGCCCTCCACCACCAAGTCCTCGGCTGTGAGGCAGCACAAGGGGGGCGCGGGAAGCGGCTCTGCCGTCACATGAAATTTCACGAGGTTTGGGAAAAAAAACCAACCACCGCCACAAAATCTTCCTGTTAGGCTGGCAGACGGCTCCTCATTGTCCCGGTGCAGGGAGCCCTGGCGATGGGGCCGGCCCCGGCTACGGGTGGCTCATCTCAGGGTGATCCCACCATCACCGGGATCTGCTGGAAAAGGGGGGGAGAAAAAAATCAGAGCAGCGTGGCTTTAGTGTGGACATTTAGCTATAAATGCTTTTGACCTACAAACCATAGTCTGGCCTATCCCCGCATGAGACAATGCCCAACAGTACATCTTTGCTGTTTCCCAGACTAGGCGAATTAAATGCTTCCCAGACTAGGGGAATTAAAGTCATTAAGTAAGTGATGCTTTGCCTTTTGTCTTTCTCCGTGCCATACATCACACCCTTCAGCTGCCACTTCAAGCCAAATACCACACAAGTCTCAGGTATTTATTTGTTCCTCCCCCTGCCAGATGCTGCAGCCCCCACATTGTGCCAGAGCACACCAGCCCCAGAATAACAAGAAGCCACAGGCAAGACTTTCCTTCAGGATACATTGCTTTCTGGGATACAGAAGATGACAGCAAGCAGAAACTACAAATACTATCTGGGATAAGAACAAGACAAAGATAACTGACAGAAGCTACGGCGGAAGAGAAAACTTCTGCCTTGGCATGGTGGTATAAAGTTAGAGGTGTCAAGAGTCCCATGAAATCACTCTATTATCATCCTGCAATCATAAAACCTGGGAAACCCTCAGTTCAGAAAGTCTTTTCTTCCAATTTGTCTTCATTTCATCTTGGCCCAGCTGAACACAAACACGTTTTTCCGTTTTCCACTTCACCCTCCCAGAGACCCACAGACGAACCCCCACAGGCACAAGGCACAACTAATCCAGCCCAGGCAAGCACCGGCAGTCCCATGCCCCAGCTGAGCCTTCCCACAGCTGCCCCAGGAGGAGAGAATTTATGCTCATGTCTAAAGAGTTCACGAGTCTTCAGGGAGTAATGAAACGAGGTGCCAGTTATTTTGGCATCGTGCATGCAAGTGTTGTCCCGCTGCCTTGCAAGGGCTTTCCCTCTCGCAGGAAAACCCTTCCCTGTGGTTGTCCAGACAAGAGCAGACAGTCACATCTGCAAGTGCCCAGCGTAACTCTTTCTGTAAGGCAAAGCTAAGAGGTCTCGCTGGGACAGTGCAAAGACTGCATCCCATGATCAAGGGTTTAATAAGACCCTTTCAGCAGACCACAGGCAAAATGCTTTCCAGCAAGCCAGTTCAGCTACTCAGGGCTTTGCAGGTGCTTCTTTTGGATTGTAGGGGGTTTTGTTTGGTTGCGGTTTTTTGCTCTTATTCCACTGAATAACTAAGCCCAGGTTCCTGGAAAGGCAGCACAGAGCCAGATGTAGCAGTCAGGGTCTAGAAATATTTCAGAAGTAGGACAACGGAAAACAACTGCTCAGGAGGAAGGTGGAAGCTGTATACTCATGCCTACACTCAAGCACAAGGCAAGAAGCTCAAAAGGTAGCTGCTAGTAGAAAAGTTTGGAAGATTTAGCTTGTCTGGAGTTTGTTGACTCAAATTGTCACAATAACTTGTGTGTACTCAAATCTAGATAATTTGCACACAAAATCCACCCCAAAGCCAGAGTGACGTGTCAAAAAGAAAAGCTTGACCTCTTTTTAATTTCTTTTACTACAGTTTCTGCAGTCCCTTCTGCTCTTGGCAGACCCAGACTCAGCAGCTTGGGTGTTGAGTGCTTTCCCATCAGAAGTGCACTGCCACTGAAACCAGAGAAGACCTGTTGCTGTGGTATTTCTAGCCCAGCGTTTTCTGATCAAAGCTATCCAGCCCAATCCTGAAGCAACACTCCTCTGCTGAATGCTCCTCTCTCTCACACCGAGTCTCAGGACCAATCTGAGGCCATCCCACATCTCTCACCTGGCCCAATGCAGCTCCTCGGACACAGGGCGGACAGCCCTGAGCAAAGGGCTGACGCACGGTGCCCCAGGTATGCCATGCTGTTGGGAGGACACTCACACCCCTGTGAAGGCGCTGGGTACCTATTCAGCCACTCTCCCTCCCCTGTACACTTTGGTGGGGAGCAAAGCAAAGTCCTTCCGCAAAGACTTGCTAGCTGAGGGAAAAGTCTGGCAGAGGGCCTGAGCAACAGCATCCTACTCACCCTGGGTCACCAAAGCCCTCCCCAGGGACAAGAGACCCGAGGCTTGCTGGTCTTGATAGGACCCTGGGGTGCTGAGTGTGCTGGCCACAGCAGTCGGCACCTCTGGATCCCTCTTGGTTACTTGCTATGGAAAGTCTGCTGCCCACACCTCTTACTCTGTCCTCTTCATGGTCAGAAATGGCAGGGGAAGGGAAGATGGGATGGGAAAAACAAAGAAAAAAAAGAAGAAATAAAAATAAAAACAAAAGAAATAAAACGAAATAAAGGGAGAGAGAAAAAAAGAGAGAAAGGGGTGGGGGGGGAGAGAGAGAAAAGGAAAAA